TTTCACTTAGTATGTACTTTTGAGATTCATCCATGTCTCATTGCATGTATTAGTATTTTGTTTCTTTTTGTTGCTGATAATAAATTCTATTGAATAGATATACCATATATATTTAATCCATTCACTGGTTGGTGGACATTTGAGTTGTTTTCAGTTTGGAGCTATTATGAATAAAGCTGCTATGAGTAGTTGCCTATTGGTCTTTGTGAGGACATGTGTTTCTCTTGGGTAAATGCCTAGGAATGGAATCACTGGGCCATACTGTTAAGTTTATGTTTATAAGAAACAGCCAGAATGTTTTCCAAAGTGACTGTAACATTATACATTCCGGCTAGCAATATATGAGAGTTTCAGCTGCTCCACATCCTAGCCAACACTTGGTATTACCAGTCTTTTTAATGATATTTCATTGGGTTTTTAATTTGCATTTTTCTGATTACTAAGGATATTGATGACATTTTCATGTGATTATTGGCCATTCATGTATCTGCTGCTTTTTTAGTCTGGCTTCCTGGAGTCTCCCCTGTGCCTGTGAAGTTAGTGTTCAGCCAAGACTTTGAGTAGAGTTTATACTCAGGTTTAAGTGTTCATCCTCTCTGTGGTTCTCTTGCTTGTGGAGTTTTGCCTTTAAATTTCCAGCTGTTTTGCCAGCCCCAATGTTTGGCTTCTGACACCTCAAGCTAGTAGACTTTAGCTTTGTGCCATTCCTACTATACACACACTGGGGAATACACTTAATAAAAGCAGCAGCGGACTCACTAGCCTTCCCTAGTGCAGTAATCTTTTAAGGATGGACAACTCACCATGTTCTGCTTGCTTTTTCATTTTACCCCCGGATGCTGGGGGCTAATTTGATGAATTGGAAAACTGCATGGATTTCAGTTACCCCCTAACATACATTGTTTAGCAGCCAAGCAGGAATTTGTGCAGAGTTTTTGCTCCGATTTTGGGTGACATCTTTTCTGTAGCTCTTTCACTTCCAGGATTTTCCTCCTAAATTTCCAGCTGCTGTACTGGCCTTGATTCTATTTTCTGTTATCTTTAGCAAGTGAGACTGGAATTTTCTGCTGCTGGAGCTGCCATGTTTGGGGAACACCTTCAGGCAAAAAAGCTACTAACTCATAATTCTTACCCTTTGCAGTTGCTATTTATCATGGATACACGTTCCTCTGTTTTCTGCCTGCTTTTGGTCACTTTCTCCAGTGCCTTCAGATAGTCATATTGTTGTATTTTGTCTACATTTTGTAATAAAATGCAGGTAGATTTGCCTGAAGAATTCATTCTTCATTACTCCATGTATTTTTTTATGAGTACTTTCTTTTAGAGATTAATATGAAAATATTTGCAGATTAAAGATATGAAGTTTGAGATTTGCTTCAAAATCTAGGGGAGTGGATGGAGGGAAAATTAATACATGATTGGCTGTGAGTTCATAATTTTTGAAGCTGAATGATGAGTACCTGGAAGCTCATTATATTATTCTCTTCATTTTTTAATATGTTTGAAATTCTCCATAATAAAGATTTAAAAATTAGGTACTCTATACAATAGCATAAAAAATTGAAAATATAATAATGTCTTACAGTGTTTAGGACTTTTATACAGGAAGTGTTGAGAGAAATTAAAATCTAAATAAATGGCAGGACATACCATATTCATGGATTAGGAGACTCAGTATTGTAAAGATGTCAGTTCTCTCTAACTGATCTGATTCAGTGCGATACCCATAAAAACCCCAATGGTTTTCATTTGGGACATTGATAAATTAATGCTAAAATTTATACAGAAATACAAAAGTCCAAGAATAGCCAAGATACTTTTCAAATGTCTAGTAGATAACAAGACATATTATAAAGCACAGTAATTAAAGCTTTGTGGTATTACTCAAGGATCAGTGAGACTAGTGGAATCACATAGTAACTCACTCTCGCCTATATGGACACGGTATATGACAAAAGTGGTACTACAGACCTATGGGGACAGGATTTTTTTTTTTTTTTTTTTTTTTTAAAGATTTTATTTATTTATTTTTCCCCCAAAGCCCCAGTACGTAGTTGTCTGTCATAGCTGCACATCCTTCTAGTTGCTGTATGTGGGACGCGGCCTCAGCATGGCTGGAGGAGCGGTGCCTCGGTGCGCACCCGGGATCCGAACCCGGGCCGCCGGCAGCGGAGCGCACGCACCTAACCGCTAAGCCACGGGGCCGGCCCCCAGGATGTTTTTTTTACCCCCTTCAATAAATAATGCTTGGACAATGGATATCCAAATAGAACAACATGAAAATTGGCCCCTACCTCACTCCATATAAAACAGTCAGTTCTAGGGGGATTGTAGATCTAAATGTGAAAGCTAAAACTCATATTAGGAAATATAGGAGAATATATCTTCATGACCTTGGAATAGGGAAAGATTTCTTAAATAAGATACACACAGTTAAAGCACTGACCATAATGGGGATGGGGTTTGATGTATTTGAGCACATTTATCTAATCTAATGATCCTATAAAGAGAGTAATAAGCCTTACCCCATAGTGGGAGAAGATATTTGTAACACATAAGACCTTCAAAGGGCTCATATTCATGGTACATAAAGCATTCTTACTAATAAATTAGAGAAAGATTGACAACTCACTAGAAAACAAGCAAGAGACTTGAACTAGCACTTTATGAAAGAGGATAACCAAATGGCCAGTAAACATGAAAAGTTGCTCAGTCTTACTGGTAATCAGGGAAAAGCAAATTAAAACCACAATGAAGTTCTACTACACACCAACTAATATGGCTAAAATTAAATCATCTGACAACACCAAGTGTTCAGGAGGATGTAGAACAAAGCAGACTTTAATAAACTTGCCAGTGTAAGCATAAATTGGTACAAGCACTTTGGAAAACACTTCAGTTGACATAACCAATGTCCTATGACCTAGCAATCTTACGACTTAGCATACCCAACAGCCATGTGTGCACATGTGCACCCAGAGACATATAGGAGAATCAACAGTAGACTGGGTAAATAGCGGTACATTCCTACAATAAATGTCATATAGCATTGAAAATCAATGAATTAAAGCTACGTGAATCAGTGTGGTTGAATCTCATAAGCCTAATGTGGAGTGAAATAAACCAGACAGAAAAAAATACTTATAGTAGTCTGATTATGTCATATAAAGTTTTTTGTTTGTTTTTTACTTTCTTTCTAAACTAATGTACCATGTTTATGGAATGCATGTTTATATGGTAAAATGATAAAGAAAAAATAATGGGGCCGGCCCCGTGGCGTAGCGGTTAAGTGTGTGCTCTCCGCTACTGGCGGCCCGGGTTCGGATCCTGGCCGCGCACCAACGCACCGCTTCTCCGGCCATGCTGAAGCCGCGTCCCACGTACAGCAACTAGAAGGATGTGCAACTGTGGCATACAGCTATCTGCTGGGGCTTTGGGGAAAAAAAAAGGAGGAGGATTGACAATAGATGATAGCTCAGAGTCGGTCTTCCTCAGCAAAAAAAAAGAGGAGGATTAGCACGGATGTTAGCTCAGGGCTGATCTTCCTCACCAGAAAAAAAAAAAAGAAAAAGTAATGATTACTGTAAAACAAGTCAAGATAGCAGCTGCTTCCAGTGTTTTGTTTCTTAGCTTAGGTGATTTCATGAGTCTTCACTTTGTAATCATTTAACTTTGTTTTGTGTACTTTTTGGTATGTGTTATATTTTGACATGAAAAGGGGTGTGTGGCTAAAAGAAAAAGGAGAAAATAAATATCTTAGTCAATTTCCAGGAGATCTGGTCTCTAATTTCAAATCTGACAGCAATTAGGTATGTAACAGGGTCACTTCATCTTTTTTGACTTTTACCTATAAAAGGAGGGAGTTGTATGAGGTGTTTGCCAGTGCCTTTTCAAAAAAAAAAAATAGCTTTATTGAGGTCTAATTTATAAATACCAAAACACATTTAAGTACCAACACTTTATGATGAAATTTCAAAAACTATCAGTAAGACAAGAAGAGATTAGATTTTTAGGGTGGAAATGATGCCGCTGAACTTTGTATAGCCCTTTGCAATTTGACATACTTTCACATTTCTGAGGGACATTTGGGTATCTGTAGTAGATGTATTCATTTCAGATAAATTTTGTCAATTCCTCTACACAGAAGATCTGTTAGACTCTCTGCTCAGAAGGATTTGGAACAGAAAGAAAAACACCATGTAAAAATGAAAGCCAAGAGATGTGCTACTCCTGTGATCATTGAGATTCCACCATCCAAAAAAATGAAAGTGTAAGTAGCCACAGCTTCTGCCACAACTGACAGAAGCTGTTGTTTGCTCCTATAGTTAATAGCAAGCAGAATACACGGTGCTTGTTCTTATTCTTATCAGTTAGGACTGTATTTTACTGTAAATAATAGCCTATTCAGCTAGAGTGTTTTAAAGAATAGTGATTTATTTGCTTCACAGAAGTTTGGTTGCTGTTCGCTTTGGTTCAGTGACTAAAAAATGCCAGGGCAGCATCTCTGTGAGTCTTAGCTTTTTTTTCATACTTGTTGCTCAAGATGGCTGCTCTATGTTTCTTAGCTTCTTCCTTGTGCTTGTTGCCTCATTATCACATTATAGCTGCTATATCTCAGCTATCACATCTATGTTCAAGAGAAGAAGAAGGAGGCTATGGCAAAGGAAGAAGGGCAGCACTCATATCACGAAAGTGAGATATTTTCCAGATACCCCTGTTATATCTCGCTTGCCCAACTGTGTCACTTGGATACTGCTTAGTTGCAGTAGAGGCTGTTGAAGCAAGTACAATACTTTAGCCTTTGTACGTTGCCACCCCAAACAAAATTGGAGTTGTATTAATAAGAAAGAAAGTGGAATAGATATTGGGAAGGTAATTAGCTGTCTGCCAGTTATACATTTGTGCCAGTTATGCAATGCCGGTTGTGCATTTGATGATGAGCAGTTGGAATCCCTCCCCACCCTCCTGAACCTCAGCAGACAATTCTTAACATTGGCTTCTATTGGTGTTCTCAAAGTTTACCCATCGTAGTTGTTGGTATATATGATCTGATGATACTATTAGAAGACTCTTGCAGTTGAAGCATGCTTGTTGTCCTAAAGAATGAGAAAATGTAAGCTATGTGTGCTGGATTTGGGGAGGAGGGTAGAACCTGGGTATGCTTTAGGGAATTGAGGGGATATTTTTTGTCCTTTTGAACTCAAGTTCTAGCAATAAAAAGAAGCCAGAGGGAGAGGAAGAAGGCAATGCTCATCAAGATACTTCTGAAAAGAATGAGTCTTCCCCAGAGAAAGTCAAGAGCAGACATACTGTATCTTGTATACCACCTGTAAGGTATGCTTCTTTCCTGAATTTAGACTTTAGAGTCAATAGAGTAAAATGACAAATGGGTATGTCTGCAGTCTGTTTGGTGCACGTGGAGCTTGGGAAACTCCTAAAGCTGTAACCATGGTGAAGTGAATTGTTTTATGTCTTGGTGGGTGCTCAGGTCTTAAACATTGAGAAAAATATACTATTAAAGCAAATTAAAAAAAATATAAAAGGAAAAAAAGTAAAGATTCTTACTACCAAATTGAACAATTTTTATTTTGCCAAGCTCCCTTGTGGTCTTTACTCAAGTAAAAAAATATTTTCACAATCAGTGTATAAACAACCTTTGAGTTCTGCTTTATTCACTTGCCATATGTTTTTTCTTGTACTGCTACGAAATCTTCACATTTATCCTTTTTTGATAGATTGTTAATATTCTATCAAATTATATTTAACCATTTCTTGTGGAAAATGCAGTTTCCAGTTTTTCACTATTATAAGTAATCAGTGAACATCTTTATAGGCAGAGCCTTTTCTTTGAGTCTCCTCCTTTCTTTTAGTCTCCTCAAGATAAGGAACGAGAAATCCCTTGATCAAAGAGTGCGACTAGTTTTATGGCTATTGATATTCATTGCCAATTTTACTTCTGAAATGAATTTACAGTGCCATCGGCTTTGAATGAATATTTTATTTTCTTGTCTCATCTGCTTTGAATTATTTTTGGCTTTTAAAATTATTTCAAATTTAATTGATATAATGTTGATGGTGTTAAATTATTTTAATTTTTATCTGTTTGCTAACAAGGTTATATTGCTGTTATTATAAACATGTCTTCCATATTTCTTCTTGGGTGAATTGTCTGTTTCCTTTTCTATTTATTTATAAGTGGTCTTAGCGATGTTGTCGTTACTAAGAATGGCTACTTTAAATTGAACATTTGCTGTCGAGTACTTCAGAAACATTGTCTGATGTAAGAGTCACAAATATTCTGTGAGGATGAGTATTTATATTCCTCATCTTACAGTGTAGAAAACTGAGGCTCAGGTTAAATAGTTTTCTCAAGATTGCATAGGCAGAAAATGAAATAACAGGGCTGAGATTTGAACTCATAGTTGGCTTTACTCCTAAGTCTGTCCTCTCTATCACAGTATATATTTTGTGTATATTAACCTTTTGCCATATTTGTTGCTAATGTTTTCCCCATTCTACTGGTATTTTAATTTTAGTTTTTCTTCTGGCATAAGAGCTAATCATTTTATAGTCAAATTTATGGATCTTTTGTAATATATTGTATAGTCTGTTTTAACTATTTTTTCTGAAATTTTTTCAATATTTTGGTACAAACTGTGCATCTTGATTTTTTTTTTTCATAGTGTTATCATATTCAGCATTGATTTACTAGATAATACTTTTGGTTTTGATGGTTATTTTCTCACAGGTTAAAAATCTAATCTATATAATGCCTTTACATTATTTTGAATCATTGAGCCTCTTTGTCCTTTCTTCTCTTATCTCTTTTACTGATTTGCCACTTAGACGGAAGATTCTAAAAAGTACTGAGGAGCAAGAGTTGGAGAAGAGAATGAAAATGCAGCAGGAGGTGGTGGAGATGCGGAAAAAGAATGAAGAATTCAAGAAACTTGCTCTTGCAGGAGCAGGTCAGCTCAGCTCTGGTTGAGTCTGATTTATGAGGGGTGCTTCCCATAATCTTAGTGTACGGTTTTTTGAAGTCTCTAAGGCAAAAAAAGTCTTTCTTGGTCAGTAGTCAGCGTAAAAAGATGTGTTTATTTAGAAGGCTGGACACGGGTACCATTTATATCCCAATGATCATTCCCTAGAATGCTTTACATACGTTAGCCCTGTCTTAGAGCATGCTGTTTCTCTTCATCTCTAAGCATAGAAGTCACATCCATCTTTTGAGGCCTTTTTCCCTGAGGACTTCCCTCATTTCTATTTTTTTTTTTTTTTTTTTTGGTGAGGAAGATCAGCTCTGTGCTAACATCTGCCAATCCTCCTCTTTTTTTTTTGCTGAGGAAGACTGGCCCTGGGCTAACATCCGTGCCTATCTTCCTCCACTTTATATGGGACGCCGCCACAGCATGGCTTGCCAAGCGATGGGTCTGTGTGCACCCGGGATCCGAACCGGCGAACCCTGGGCCGCCGCAGTGGAGCGCGTGCACTTAACCACTTGCGCCACCGCGTGGGCCCCCCTCATTTCTTGAAGTAGAATTAATTCCTTCTTCATTTTTCCTCCTTATTCTTTTTCTTTGTATTAGAAAAAGAAGGGACTAGGATTGAAACAGAAGATAAAGCAGTTGGGCAGGCCACTTTTTTGTTGTTGTTTTCCCATTTTACCCTAGGCAGAGGAAAAGAAAGCTGAGAAAGTCCAGTTGTAGCTGGAGGAAAAGTATGACTGAGGGAGCAGAAGGGCTCAGAGTTCTGCTTTGCTCTGGCAGAGGTATTATTGGTGGAGTCAAAGCTCTAAAGCCCGCTTACTGGGTTGGAAAAGCACTTCTGGAGTTTATAGGGTTTCCCTCTTACACTTCTCCTACCTCTTTACACTTTGCATCTGACCGAAGGGCCTCAAACCCAATAGTACTCAATGAATAAAGCACATATATTCATGTCCCTGAAGACTGTTTCAAGTTTTGGGTTATATGTAAAGAGTGAACAAAGTTAGATCCATGGTAATAGAAATACCAAAGGGACTGAATGAAAAAGGATTTACTGATTTCTCTATTCTTAGCGTTACATGTGTGTTTTACTCTGCTTCTCATTCAGGGCAACCTGTGAAGAAGTCAGTGAGCCAGGTAACCAAATCAGTTGACTTCCACTTCCGCACAGATGAGCGAATCAAACAACATCCTAAGAACCAGGAGGAATATAAGGAAGTGAACTTTACATCTGAACTGCGAAAGCATCCTCCATCTCCTGTAAGTTGATGGACTAATTGAATATTCTTGTTACTAATTCAGTGAGGATTTCAGGTGTAGTATTTGTGGTAACTACTTATAAAAATACAATTGAGGGGCCGGCCCGGTGGCGCAAGCGGTTGGGTGTGCGCGCTCTGCTGCGGCGGCCCGGGGTTCGCTGGTTCGGATCCTGGGCGCGCACCAACGCACTGCTTTGGCAAGCCATGCTGTGGCGGTGTCCCATATAAAGTGGAGGAGGATGGGCACGGATGTTAGCCCAGGGCCATCTTCCTCGGCAAAAAAAGAGGAGGATTGGCGGATGTTAGCACAGGGCTGATCTCCTCACAAAAAAAAAAAAAAAAATACAATTGAGAGAAGGGTATGTTTTTGATTTAAGATAGATCTAAATCCTCTGTTAGCTGTGTGACCTTAGATAAATCAGTCTATCTCTCTGGGAAGGATCTACCAAGTTGCTGTGAAAACTGAATTGAGAATGTACATAAAACACATAGAATTATATGTGGCAAATTGTAGGTACAGTCTTGTTACAGCTTTGCTGTTACAAAATTCTTAAAAAAATCTTGTGTCTGCAAAATTGTATACAAAATATGAGAGGGTTTATGGGAAAAACGAGGTTGGGGCAGACCACTTAAATCCTGTGCGGTTTTGTTACCAGAGCACTAACAAAAACAGTAACACTCCTAAATAAAAATTCTAATACTAAGAATTTCTCCTTGCGTTTGCAGTCAGCAGCGTCGTTTGTTGGAGTCAGTCTTTTGCAGTCTTAAACCCTGGGGTTGTATTTCTTCCTTTGTGACATAGGTGCTTGAAGAGTGTTTCCAATCAGAGACCAATTTTATAAAAACTAATGATCCAAGGAGTAGGCTTCTTCATCAGTCAGTTTTGGGGAGGATGTGTGGAGAGATCTGACGACTACCTGACCTGATCTAGACCTAGAAGCCCAATCAATTTTTTTAATGGGATTTGTGGTGGGATACTTTTGCAGCTTTCTTTTCCTTCTAATTCTAAGAAAAGTTGCTCTTGATTGCTTCAAAACATTAACATGCTTGGGAAAAATCACCTTATGTACTGTTGTAGAACAGACAATTTGTTAAGTGCTAGGTCCTTTCTCTCCCTCTTTAAAAGATGGGAATTGGGGCTAGCTCGGTGCCGTAGTGGTTAAGTTTGGCATACTCCGCTTCAGCGGCCCAGGCTCATGGGTTCAGATCCCGGGTGTGGACCTACACCACTCATCAAGCCATGCTGTGGCAGTGACCCATATACAAAATAGAGGAAGATGGGCACAGATGTTAGCTCAGGGCCAATCTTCCTCACCAAAAAAAAAAAAAAAAAAAGAAGAGAGAGAGATGGGAATAGAGATGGGAATAACCCTTGCTCAAGGACTGGCAAACTTAAGAATAATAATCTTGGCTTTATGCAGACCCTTTTCTTTTGATCCTCTGTGCTGAATATATGGCTTGTGGTAGATGTGAGCTCTTCTATAACACTTCATTTGGGGAACAACCTCTTTCTTTACAGGCTGGAGTGATTAAGGGATGCACCGTTATTAAGCCTTTCAACCTGTCCCAAGGAAAGAAAAGAACATTTGATGAAACAGCTTCTACCTATGTGCCCCTTGCACAGCAGGTTGAAGCCTTCCATAAACGAACCCCTAACAGATATCACTTGAGGAGCAAGAAGGATGAAATACGTAAGTTTCTTACCAATATCAAAGCTGGCTGGAGCCTCCTCTAGAACTCCCTTTGCTTACATCTTAGGCACAAATTTGCCTTTAGTTGAAATCCTAGCTTTTGAACTAAAGTATGGTATGTGCCTGTATACAGACTTCAAATGTATAGTTGAGCATTTCTCAA